TTTTATAAACTTTTATTACACATATTTCACCACTTCAAATCAAAAGGTTGCTTAAATTTTGCTCAAATAAACAAATAGTTCACCAAACTTACTGATAAAAYTTCTTCCAAACGGCTTCTGCTTCAGTCTTTGTCTTCACTCCAACGCTGTGAAAAAAACAGCACATTTTTAAATAATTAATCTTCAAACAAACAGTAAGAATATTTTAATTTCTGGGGTTTTCATACCTTCTGTAGAAGTCTGCTCCAGCTGTGATCAGGCCAAACAAAGTGGTGATTTTATGAGGTATGAAGGTCTGCAGGGAGGCTGTTAACAACAAGTCTTTGTTAATAAAGCTCTTATTGTTGGCAAAAAGCATGACAGGGATTAGATTACAGCAGCCTTTAATCCAAAGATTTAATCCCATTTAATATCCTTAAACAAAACCCACAAACTGTGGATTACTGTTCAGGTTACGAAACATTTAAAAGACCTCCGTTAACTCTATTATTACTACTATTATTATTATTATTATTATTATTATTATTATTATTATTATTATGACTCAGTTTATTTAGGTAATGATGAAACAAAGCAGAAAATATTTGTAGATATTTCTGTTTCATTCACACATATGTCGTGAAGCATCGAAAACATTCATTATATTTTAATTTACCAAACTAGATACGTTTAGAAACATTAAAAACAACCAAATAATGATCATTTCCTGTCAACAAAACGCAACAAATCGTTTTAAAACGGTTTTCTTTAAGCCGTCCTCTCACCTGCTGCGTCCTGTTTGGCGTTCTGAAGTAAAACTTTACCCAAACTGACCAATAAGTTTAAACTACTTGTTAAAGTTTCTTCAGAAACATCTTCGGCCATCGTCACCAGTTCAGACCAGTGCCGCCCTCTGACAGAACCAGTGAAGGGGCCACTGATATGACGGCCAGCTTGGACCAATCAGCATCACGGAAASGCATCACGTGACACCTCGTTTCAAGGAGGAGCTCAGGGACTTAGCCCCACCCAGCGGTCAGCGGTGAGAACTGCACGTGACAACTATAAAGTTTTTTACTGGGATTGTTGAATAGTCTTCTCATTATTGTGACTAAACATACTAATGTTATCCAAAATTATGAGTTAGCATCTTATAACAGTATCACATTAACATACTGTCCACATATTAACTTATATTATAAAACTTAACTATGAGATGCGTACAGARTGCTAAGATATCCATATTATTTTATTATTGATAATTTATATTAATGTATGGCACTCAATGACTTTTTTTTTACTTAATACTAAATATGAGACAAGTATCCAATCATCCAATATCCTTCAGAAAACTGACTTTACATCTCATTAWACATRACCAGTGGTGGGCACAGTTCCCCTAAAGCACTAAAACACTAATAGGGGAAATAATTTCATGATTAGTGCTTTAGGGCTTTTGCTCATTTTAAAATTTATTAGTGGATTAGCACTTGCTAAATTTATAGGCTAAATTAAGAAGCACTAACTGAGGTCTTTAAATGTTATTGATCAACATTATTAACAGCTGTCACATTTTGTGTGTCACTGATCCACCAGGTGACAATATGTGAACTCAGATCCAGCTGTGAGTCAATGTTAATAAGAGAGAAACATGTGGCTCATGTTGTCTGTTGAAGAATTTTTATGGGTTGACTGTGTTATTTTAGTGCTTTAGAATTAGCTTTAGCTAAAACTTTTAGTGCATTAGTGCTTTAGATTTAGCTTTAGCTAAAACTTTTAGTGCATTAGTGCTTTAGAATTAGCTTTAGCTAAAGCTTTTAGTGCATTAGTGCTTTAGAATTAGCTTTAGCTAAAGCTTTTAGTGCATTAGTGCTTTAGAATTAGCTTTAGCTAAAACTTTTAGTGCATTAGTGCTTTAAAATTAGCTTTAGCTAAAACTTTTAGTGCATTAGTGCTTTAAAATTAGGGGACCTAAATATTTGAGTTAGTGTTTTAGGGCTAGTGGAACCAATGATTAGTGCTGCCCACCACATAACTATGAGATGTTAAAATGATAATTAAGCTACAATCTCCAACTTTTGATTTAGCATTTAAAATAAAATAAAAAAGGACTCAGGATTTTGTAAAAGAAAACTTTAATGAATTGTTCTCGGGAACAAAAACACACCAGAAACAAATTTAATTGAAGCCCATTTTATTGAATATTTGTTCATCATAAAGATTTGTTCTGTCAAGTTTTCAAACGTAAAAACTTTAGTCCAAAGCCCCTCGATGCACCTGATGACCTGAYGACCCAGCACAGGTGAGACCATTAAAACCAGTCAGCACAAAACAGATAAAACAGAATTTAGGAGAAACAAAAATGACTGATTGTTTATGAAGCTGGAATTAAATTGTTTCATTAAACATTTCTTTGACTAACGACTTTGTGATTTCATAAATTTAAAATTAAGGCCCCAGAAATGAGAAAATACTTTGAGAGAACATCTTCCTGGTGCTTTAACACAGCACACTGACACCATAAAACATTTTAAATTTAAATATAATCCAGTTTTTATGTATAAAAGTTTGTTTTTCATGAAAAATATGCAGTATTTTAAAGAAGAAACACCTGGAAGGACGTAAGCAGTTATTTTTAAAACACTGGTGTCGTAAATTACTGCTCAGTTTATGAACGAACGTTAAAAAAACATGAAATACTGAGAATAAAATAAATATTTTAAAATGAGTTAGCCCTTAAAGACCCACAAGTCAGATAAGTTAGAGGACAATC